TATGTTGCTGCAGCTCTGAAAGTCACCAAACCCATGAAGAGCGTGCAGGTGCCAGAGACTCAGGTGGCCACGTTCGAGTGTGAAGTTTCTCACTTCAACGTCCCGTCCACGTGGCTGAAGGACGGTGTGGAGATCGAGATGAGCGAGAAGTTCAGGATCGTGGTTCAAGGAAAACTTCACCAGCTGAAGATCATGAACACCAGCAGGAACGACTCCGCAGAGTACACCTTCGTCTGCGGCAACGATCGAGTGTCCGCCACGCTCACCGTTACCCGTGAGAACATGTTCAAATCAAATCCAGTCATGTCACGTCACAATAACGTCCAAACCTTTCCTGAGCACATGAAAGTTGGAATATGTGACAAGTTGAAATGTTTTGTCAGGATTGTGTGAAATTTACTATTTTCTAATTTAAAAACAATTCAAAGCAGTAAAAGAACAACATTTTGTGTTTGACCTGACATTTGTTCTTCTCCAGCCATCATGATCACATCCATGATGAAAGACCTGAACGCTCAGGAAAGAGACACCATCACCTTCGAGGTCACCGTCAACTACGAGGGCATCACCTACAAATGGCTGAAGAACGGCGTGGAGGTCAAGTCGTCGGACAGATGTCAGGTCCGCAGTCGGCAGCTCACGCACTCGCTCACCATCCGAAATGTTCACTTCGGAGACGGAGGAGAGTACCAGTTTGTGGCCGGCTCAGCTGCCTCCGCCGCAAATCTGTTTGTGGAAGGTAACCGATGCATGTTTCATGAGCTCAAGCATCTGGAAATACCAAAAACATAATAATACCAAACAGAAGTTGATCTCAAGCTCATTTAGCACGATGTCTGAAATCCAGCCTGTGATCATGTCAACGCTCTGAGCTCAATGTTTTCCGTTGTTTTCAGCCCGAGTGATTGAATTCACCAAGAAGATCAAGGACATAAAGATCACAGAGAAGAAAAAGGCGATATTTGAATGTGAGGTTACGGAGCCAAACATCCAGGTGATGTGGATGAAGGACGGTCAGGAGCTGGACCTGTCGGAGGAACGGTACGTTTTCACCAACACTGTCGTACTTTTACTGACCCTGCTGCTGACGTCTGCTGCTCTTTATTAGTGGTTAATAAATGAGCTGCTGTGTCTCAGGTACATCGTGACAGCAGAAAAGTACGTTCACCGTCTGATGATCCAGACGGTTCGCATGTCCGATGCTGGAGTGTATTCAGTGGTGGCTGGGTCGAGTGTCTCCAAAGCTCAGCTCACAGTCGAGGGTCGCGACATCCGGATCTCTGAACCTGCCGAGCGGGAAATTACAGTGAGACAGCTACTTTGATTAAGAGCAAAGGTTCATGGGTACATTTTGGAGTCATGTGATGTATGAATCATGTAAATCTGAAACCTTCCTTCCTCTGTCCAAGGTTCTGGAGAAACAACGAGCGACCTTCGAGTTTGAGGTGAACGAGGACGATGTGGAGGGTCGCTGGCTGAGGAACGGGGTGGAGATCCAAGTCTCTGTGGAGGAACGGTTCAACTATGTGGCCATCAGAAAGCTGCACCGCCTCACCATCTCTGAGACCTACAGGAGTGACGCCGGGGAGTACATCTTCATCGCCGGCAAAAACAGGAGCACCATGCACCTCCGGGTCAACAGTAAGTGAGGCAGGGAGGTGAATACCATGAAAGGATCATATTTCAAGCAGCTGACCGACTGTTTGTTTCGTGCTTCGTTCAGTCCCAGAGCCTCCGCAGATCCTTCGCCACATGGAGCCTCAGTCGTTAGAAGCTGGTAAACCGGCTCGCTTCTCCGTGAAGGTGAGCGGCGTTCCTCAGCCTCAGGTCTTCTGGTATAAAAACTCCCAGGCCCTGTCTCCGGGCTTCAAGTGCAAGTTCCTTCACGACGGCGACGAGCACACGCTGCTGCTGATCGAGGTCTTCCCCGAGGACACCGCCGTCTACAACTGTGAAGCAAAGAACGACTATGGTACTGCCACGAGCACTGCAGCGCTCAACGTGGAAGGTAGGACGTTACACATGTTGGACAAAGACAAAGGAAATGTTTCAGACAGGACATGTGAAGATGCAGGTTTGTGTGCGTCTTAGTTTCAGAAGTGGTGTCTCCGGACTCCGCCGCTCCTGTTGCTCCGCCTGTCGTCATTTCACCCATCGCCAACACTTCAGCTTGTGAGGGAGAACCGGCTCGCTTCCAGTGCAGAGTCCGTGGAGATGGTAAGAAAACTAAACACTTCCGTCACCTCCGTTATCTCCCCCATCACAGCGCTCACCATAACCTGTCTTTGTCCTCCGTCCAGATGTGAAGATCACCTGGTTCCACAGGGAGAAGGAGATCAAGCAGTCAGACTTCTTCAGGATGTCTCTGTTTGACGACAGCTGTCAGCTGGAGGTCTCCAGGGTGTACCCAGAGGACGAGGGGGAGTACAGCTGCGTGGCCACGAACAGTGCCGGCACTGTCTCCTGCTCCGCCATCCTCACACTGGACGGTCAGTCTGTTTCCTCCATATAGAAGCTGTTGTTGATAGGGGGAGCGGCCGAGGTCGACTGTAACATTCTCCACACGGAGTTGTGAGGTGTCGCGTGTTTGTAGATGTGTGACATCAGAGCGTCTTTCTGAATCATCCTCCCGATGAGCAGCAGGTCAACGTACGACATCGACTGAATGTCATGAAAGCAGAAGATGAATACGCTCAACACTGTGTATACATATATACATACCTGTGTAGAAATACAAACTGCACTGACGAGTTTCATGTTTACATCGTAATGAACAATCTCAGATTATCTTAATTATCCGACCACCGGCCCCCGACAGTCCGCTCTCTGTCTCTTTGTGTGTTTGTGGTTCAAATGGCCGACACTGACTGGGATGAATGTTGAATCTAATCAGACACATGGAACAAACCAGAGGACAAACTTCTTTCTTTCAGGACAAAAACAAAAGGTGGACAGTCTAGCTGAGACATACGTGTCGTCTCGCCTCACCAGTCTAAAGAAACCCCCCCTTGGTCAAAAGCCAGTTTTCATCCAGCCAATCACAAGTTGCACGGTGCCGCACGGCGAGGTGGCCCGCTTCCATGCATGTGTGTCCGGCACGCCGAAGCCAGAGATAAGCTGGTTCCACAACCGGCAGCCAGTCTGGCCCACTAAGAATGTGGTGTTCCACTTCGACGAGGTGACGAACACCGCCACACTCATCATCGTCGACGCCTTTTCTGAGCACGCCGGACAGTACACCTGCAGGGCGGCCAATATCTCTGGAGAGGCGGCGTGCTCGGCCACCCTCACCATTACCACAGAAGAAGAAGGTAACCTGTGGTTCCTCGGCCTTGCCAGATTCCCTCTGACGTCACTCGTTCTTCCTCCTGTGAGATTAACTCAAACATGTCCTGAGGGGGACGTCCCAAACTAGTTCATGACAACATTTCATTTTAGACTTTGTTAAAAATCTGTAGAATCTCTGTTCAACCAGGAAAGACTGAATTTAAAACAGACTTTTTCAAATAATTCTAACTTTTCTCAGTGTTTAAAAAAAAAGGACGGGACATCCCTCAGACTAACTGCACTGTTCCACTGAGACACCCCTCCTGCTCCTCCTCCTCCTCCTCCTCCTCCTCCTCCTCCTCATCATCACTGTGCACAGGGACAAACTCCTCCTCACCCTCGTCTTTTCTCCTGCTCAGGAAACTCACATGTGTAATAACTTCCTCCCTCCAGGAAACCCCGACTCGTTTGTTTGTTGTGTGAAACAAAGTTCTCGTTGGTCTGAAGAATACATTTCAACAAATATAATGTTAGAGACGTAACTTTAGTAACAGAATAAGTTAAGATGAGAATTGTTACACAAGCGAGAATATTCACTCTTGACGATTTAAAAAAAGCCCGGACAGTTTACCGGGTTTCTTCTGCTTTCCACTGTCTCTCATGGTTTGTGTTTTATTATGGAGTTGGCTCACATGTTGGTGTCGTCTTCATTCTTCATCATGTTCACATACTTACAACACAATCTACTCATGAAACGAGGAGTAAGACTTTAGTTCAGTTCACTTTGTCTTGTTTCCAGGTTCTAGAATAAACTTTGAGCTTTGGCTTTGAAACTTTATGAGCAACGATAGTTTGAAGGTAAATAACTTTGAATGTGGAAGTCCAGTGTCTCAGTGAGTGAAGTCTTCTCTCTCTCCTTCACAGTGACTCATGTGAGAGAGCAGATCGAAGCCAAGATTGAGCAGGAAGTCAAAGGTAAGAACATGTGAAGTTAATGACGTCATACATGGCAAACAGCAGGTCTCTGTCACACGTGAGGAGCAGGCCGAGCGGGACAGGAGCAGTTTGACCAGATTTCTGTTTCACCTCTGTCCGAGCGGCTCGCTGTGATCCAAGCTGTGACTCAGTGAACATGAGTTAAACTGGAAACTCTGTAGAGACACATCTGATGTATTGATGCATGTGTTCTGGATTATTTGGATTTCAGTTGGCCTGCACCCACAGACTACTTCTAGAGCTTTTAAATACCACATTGTGTTAAACTGTCCCTTTAAATGATCTTTGGATTTCCACAGCTGCATGTGGTCTTTATGTGTCCTGACAGAAAGCTCCAGGTGTTTGTGTTTTTCCACCTCCTCTACTGTGGTTCTGTTCTCATGGTTTCCTACAGACGAGCACTGACAGAACTTGCTTGTTCTGGGTTTTGACACCTGCGTTTTTGCATCCAAGAGTTCATTTCATTTTGGCATGACGGATCTCTGGTCTTTTCCCCTGAAAAGGTGCAGGATATATATCTTTTAAAGCTCCAAGATTTGAAATGTCCTTTAAAAGATATGGAGGTTTACTGCATCTGGAACTGATACCTTCCTCCTGCAAAATATTTCTTAGCCTGGCTTGCAGATAGTGGGATGTGATTCCTGTGGTTTGCATTCTAAATAACAACCTATATTAGTTCGAATAAACGCCTTCTCACTCAGTTTTAGCTTAATTTGTTAAAGTTTTGGAATTTAGTCTTGTGCATCATTCATTTCCTCTTAAGTTTAAGGATTAGAAAGGGCGTTTATTCTCCTGTCTGCAAGTCAGGTAAGGAATGTTCTATAAAAAAAACAAAACCAAAGCAATCATGAAAAAGTTAAGCAAGCGACTGTTAGCGGCACATACCGGAAATATGCATTTAATAATAATAAAATAATTTATGTTTTGAAGAAGTTTCCACAGACGAAGGATCAAAACTTCCTGCAGATTTCTAGTAAAAAGAATCAAGTCTTGCGTTTATTCGAACAAATATGGTGAGTGAAATTATTTCTTATAGCATTGTGACTCCCAGCATGCATTTAATATTTCCATTAATGATTCATTCAAATTCCTCTCTTTTTAACTCCATGAGGCTGAGTTGTTCTGACAGTTGTTTTTCTTTTGCAGAACTGTTTTATCATGACAGTAAAGGAGAAACACGTCTCAGCAGCGTTGAAGTCACCAGCACTCAACAGCTGAGAGGAGCCTTCTCTGACACAGAGGACTTCCTGGATCACGGCCTGGTGTCAGCCAACCGCTGCTCCAGCAGAACCTCCTCTATTAGCTCGTGGACAGATAACATCAAACCGTCTTTCACAAAGAAACTCAAGTTCCAGTCAGTTATGGAGGGGCAAGCAGTTGAGATAAAGTGTAAATTAATTGCTTGCCCTCCACCAACTATTCTCTGGTTTCATAACAACAGATCTGTTCCCAAAGAGCGCAGACGTAGGATCTGCACTGACAGCAGAATGCACATGCACACGACCAGCCTGGTTATTGATGCTGTGAGAGAGAAGGACTCGGGCAGTTATAAGGTCATGGCGATTAACACAGAGGGTTCTGCAGAGTCCACAGCATCACTATTGGTGTCACTAAGTGAGGAGCAGTCTGCAAACTACCTGGGTTTCGTTAAACGCTCGGCCAAAGCACATGAAAGTGTAGACACTATGGCAGAGCAGAGGAAGGAGAGGAAGTTTAGGGTGGACCTCCGGTGTGTAGGGTCTCCATTTGACAAAATGTCTAAAGTTCATCAGGGAAGATGTCGGTCTAAGAATTCTCTGGTGCGCACTGTGTACTTTCGCTCTGATTCTCATTCAAAAGATAAAGAGTCAGAGAAAGAGTCTAAATGTTTGGAAACTGCCTCTGAGCGTGCTCCATCTCCTCCGCCCATGTTTGACAGGTCTGAGCGTTTCAATGACAGATTCAGTGATATCTACTGTGACCGGCGCACCGGTGCCAGGTTCAGTGACAAATTTAGTGACAGGTGCAGCGACCGGTACAGTGACAGGTTCAGTGACACTGAGAGCCTTCACAATGAGGTGAGAACAAAACTTACCACGCTCCAGAAAGCTGTAAAACAGAAGAAGAGGCTTTCAATCTCCACCATGTCCTCCTCTGAGTTTGAGTTAGAATCAGTTACCAGTGAGCCAAGTTATACAGATTATGTCGAGAGGCTCCGGGTCAAACCTTCGTCTCTGCCTGATGTTCAACATTTCAATCGACCATTTGATGTTGGTGAGAGTCATAGGGAGTTTCAAGGTAACGTTTCCAGGGGGGTTCCCTCGCAGCCTCGTGTGAGGCATTCATTTGAGCCTCAGTCCAGAACCAGGGCTATTCAGATCATGAGAGGTGAGCTGGTTGAAACTCTGGTGCAGAGTGCTGAAGGGAAATCAGGTGAGAGATATTCAAGGACATTGGAAGATAAAAAAGTCGAGAGTTTGAGTGAATCTCAGGCAGAAATTAGCTTGAAGAAGATTTTAAGTGAGCATCACAGCGTTGTTTCTTCAGCAAAAGAGGCTGAACTAAGTCACCGTAAAGCCCAGGACTCTGAAACAACAGCATATCCAGAGACTCCAACATGCACTGAAAACAGGGATTCTGTCCCAGTTGAGCCTGGTAAAGGGGAGATATGCCCCACAGAGTCAACCAGGCCAAAGTTAGTCACATCTGCCAGAGAGAAGTTCCAAAGAGAAGCAGTGACATCAGAAGACATAGCGACAACAGAAGCCGTTGAGCCATATGAAGGTGAGTCTTTGAGGGCTCAGTATGAGAAGAGCCTGGAAGCTGATCGGATGGAGTGCGAGGTGAAACTCTTGGCCCTGCGGATCAGGAAATGGCAGCAAAGGAGTAGGCCATCAGAGGAGGAGGAGGAGGAGACATTTCACGGAGAAACGGATCTGCCCATGCTGGCAGAGACGCAGTACATGGAGCCTGAGGGCCACGTTTTCACTCAGCAGGAGGCAAAAGAGAAAAGAGAATCTGTAGAGACAGTAACCATGCCTCCGGTTGCAACTACATCAACCCTCAAATCACCTAAAGTAAAAACCAGAGGAGAAGAAATAGAAACATCTGCCTCCCAGCTTGAAAAGTCATTCACAATGGAAGCAAGGTTAGAAGGCGTGGAAGGTGCGGCACCAGCCACGATCACCCAAAAATCCCCAAGAATGAAAACCAGAGCTTCAGAAGTGGAAGCAGATTTGTTCCCTGGAATGAAAGAGGACAAACTGAGAGAGTTGCCCAGACCAAGAGAAGTCAGACCTGTCAAAGCAAGGTTACTGAGTGAAGCTGTAACACCTCGCAGTTCAGCAACAGATGAGCTTTGTGAACAGGAATATGCAGGGGAGAGGGCTCAGTATGAGAGGAGCCTCGAAGCAGAACGGACGGAGAATGAAGAGAAACTTCTGGCCATTCGGGTCAGTAAATGGCAGCACGGCATGCAGATGTCAGAAGATGAGCAATTCCACCCTGAAACGGATCTGCCCATGCCAGCAGAACCACAGTACATGGATCCTGAGGGCCACATTCATATTCAGCAGGAGGAAAGAGCAACTGTAGGCCATGCAACCTTCTCAAAGTCCCCTAAAGTAAAAGGTAGCACAGAACCGGGTGAAACATCTGCCCCTGAGCCTAAAGCTAGAATAACAACCAGGCAGACAGAGCTGGAAACCGAGGCACAAAAGTCTCCCAGAGTAAAAGCTAAAGCAGCAGAAGTGGAGTCTGAATCTCTACCCAGAACAAAAGCCAGAGCTCAAAAGATGTTTTTTGAGAAGACAAGAGAAGAGTGTGAGCTTCAGCTGTCAAGGGAGAACATCTCTGAACTGAAGAATGAGAGTGAGAAGTTTGTCAGTGAAGAGGAAGCCTTGAATCAGCGGATAATGAAATGGCAGCAGAATGTTCTGATGGAACAAGAGCAAGCTGTGAAGCTTGAGCCTGACTGGGTGGAGGGTTACCCACAGATGCAGGGAAAAACAGCCTCTGAGGTTAAAAGAAATGTTGCTGAGTCTCCTGCTTTACAATCTGTTGAAGGGGCCCACAGCAGCAAAACATCCCCAGGGAGAACAGCTAAAGATAAATTCCTCTTGGGTGAGTGTGTTGCTTCTGCTTTCCAAGATCAGCAGAGTGAAAGTCTTCAGTGGCCACCCGCTGGCGACCTGCCCACAGAGGGGCGTGAGACGAGGTTGCAAAGGGACAGTGAGTACTTTGTAAGCGAGGAGGAAGCACTGGCTCAGCGGATCCTGAAATGGCAACAGGATGCTGTCGAACAAGAGGAAGTAGCTGAACTGGAGTCTGAGTGGACATTGGATAGTCAATACAAATCGGCTGGCTCCACGTTGCCATGCGATTTAATTGTTCCACCATCCGAAACCCATCCCACAGACCTTCCGCCTCCACATGCAACGCTTGCTGGTGAAGTCTTACCAACAAAAAAACCATCACCCCCTCAACATGCAACTGGAGTAGAACCAACTCCTCCTCACGAGTTTTCTTTGAGAACGAGGTATTCTCTGACACGTCCCGGTTTACTGCACCACACAGATGTGCCTGTCGAAAGTTCTGATGATTTAAAAGATACAATGGTTCCCAAAACTTCACCAGTTCAGAGGCACTCACCAACCCAACTTTCAAATGTTCCTTTGGAGGGTTATACATTTGAATCTGCTCAGGGGGAAACCCCTCATAAACCTTCCAGGAGACGTTCCCCATGCCTTGCTCGACAAGAGGATTTGGAAAGAGAGGCAGAGAGGAGGTGGAGCAGGGAGGAGTATGTAATGACTGCTGATAAATCCATCAGTCAACGCTTCCAGTCGGAGATGAGCGAAGGTAGAGTGAGGAGAGAGGAATCAGGAACTACAAGAGAGAGACAGCAGAAGGGTTTCGTAGGTGTGAGGAGAGAAGACAGTGGAGATTTGATAAGATCAAAACTGGGCAATGAAATGAGTGAAGAGAGTCTTAAATCTGCT